CGTGGACGTTCACTCCGAATACTGGTTTGCCGAAGTCAATATCAGTATGAGCTGTTATAAGTATCGTGCACTTGTGGTGGCTGTATTTGCGTTCGTTCATCCCCCGTTTTTAATGAGAGCAGGTTTAAAGTCACAAAATCAGCATCGTTTGCCAGTCTCTGGTATGCATATCAGTGTAAATCTAGGGCCTGACGTGCTTATGTGAGCATAATTTTGTAAGAAAATACTTATGTCTTGCAGACTTACTCAGTTTGCGTTTGCGCATCAACAGATGATATCGTCACTTATGAACTTTTGTGTGCTTCAGGCATTTCAGGCTCAGGAACGTCACAGGGCATGGGAACTGCACCTGGGTATAAACGCATGTGCTTTAAAAATATCGAGCCCTAACCGCCAAAATAACGTAAGCGACATTTTTTTCAAAATTTTCTTTTAGATGCAGAAATATTCCTAGAGCATCTAGATACATTTCTGCATCAAAAAGAAAATTTTGAAAAAAATGTCGCTTACGTTAGTTTGGCGGTTAGGGCTCCATATTTGCCTGCAATGGGCAAGAAATAAAATCACTCGCGATGAAATGATTTGCACAGACACGGAAAGAATCTTCCAATTGAATACAACAGCTGGCAACTAGGCGCCTAGGCAAACAGCGCAACTATCGCAATTTCTGCTCATTTTCAATTTTGTATATATGTATATATATAAAAAAAATCACACAATTCCAAACTATCTCGCATGATACAAAAAAAGAAGGTAGTTTCAATAAACAACTTTTTGATTAAAAAGCAGATTTTTGACAATTGCTCAATCGTGAAAAATTCGAAGCGGCGTTACCCAATTGTAAGTTTTTTGGTGTGGGAGATTTTATATTCTTAATTTGGGATTATAAATAAAATAGTTGTGTTAATATTTACCTTTTAATAATAATTAATATCTTATCTTAAAAACGTTTAAATTTTACATTAAATTCGATAAAAACTTGCCAAATCATTATTTTAATATTAATACAATTTTAGTGAATATATTTTAAAATTTTTTTAGTGTCCTCATGATCATCTGATTATTTCACAATGTAGTTTTCTATATCGGATACGATGATTCTGATATAATTCAGACACTGAAATTATACATTTCGATCTGTTATTTAATACATATTGTCTTTGTCCATTTAACAGCAAATGGAATTTACTTTGGGATCCATGGGCCGCGAAATTTTTCCAGCAACACATATTGTTTTCACATGAAGTTTTGAAACACACAAAAGTGAAGTATAAAATAAATAGATAAAAACAAATTTTCAATCAAACTGATTTGTGTAGTTCAGGGGCGTCCTTAGTAAATGTTTTGGAGGCTGTTTTAATATATCCTATCTTATTATATATTTCTTAGCTTTTCTACATTCTGATAAGTTGAGAGAATGA